GATTAACACCCTCCACAATAAAAATGATTAATCAACCTCTCATAATTACAAAAAAATGAACAAAATGAAAAATTATGATTGGTTGAATACGGTTTGCACGGTTTGTACAAATTGAGTGGTTTGCATTTGATCGCTCCCCTATATATATATATATATATATATATATATATATATATATATATGGATACTAGAATTAAAGTATTTTAATGTGTAATTTTTGGCCAATTACATTAATGAAATAATTTTTGTCAAACATAATGAATTTTTTTGCCAATAAATAACTTATCACCTGGTTTGTTATATAATTTCCAAATATAATTTCAATTAAAATAAAATATTATTAGGATTAGTATGGAAACCGTAAGCGCAACGCAACTAATGTTTTAAAAAAACACTGACTTTGGTATCGGAGGATTGGAGGAGAACTCTATCCGTTCTAATAAATAAAAACAAAGTTAACATAGGATTTATTAAAACATATCCTACCATATACGTGGTCCCCACCTCCATTGGATCTATTAAATCAACAAGCCGCACCTTATCAGTTCAGTTCCCCCAAAAACGACCCAATCAGTTTACAGTCACGGAGATTGCGATCGATGGATCAGTTCCGGCCAACACCACCCAATTCTACCCAGCTAACTCCTCTAACCTTTCTTGATCGATGCGCCACCGTCTACGGTGACTGCGCTTCCGTCGTCTACGGTGACATCACATATACATGGAACGAAACTCGAACAAGGTGTCTTCAGCTCGCTTCCTCCATCTCCAACATCGGAATTAAGAGACACCAGGTGGTTTCCGTCGTCGCCCCAAATGTCCCCGCCATGTATGAGCTTTACTTCGCCATACCCTTGGCCGGAGCTGTCATCAATTCCATTAACACCCGTCTCGATGCCCGTACGGTTTCTGTCATCCTCACCCACAGCGAATCCAAACTTGTTTTTGTTGATTATCAGTCGGTTTCTCTCGTCCTTGATGCAATTTCTTTGTTTTCCCCAAATACACATAAGCCGATGCTTGTACTCATCACCGACGACGGACCTCCGCCGCAATCCATGACGGAATTCCGAAGTACTTACGAAAGTATGGTAGAAAACGGCGATCCTGGGTTCAACTGGGTTAGACCAGTATCTGAGTGGGACCCGATCACGTTGAATTACACCTCCGGCACGACGTCTTCTCCTAAGGGAGTGGTTCATTGTCACCGTGGAATGTTCGTCATCGCCGTTGACTCTCTCATTGAGTGGTCTGTTCCGAAACAACCCGTTTACTTATGGACTCTACCCATGTTTCATGCGAATGGGTGGAGCTACACATGGGGTATGGCGGCAGTCGGTGGGACAAATATCTGCCTACGCAAATTCGACGCCACCGTCGTCTATGATGCCATTGATAAACACGGCGTCACCCACATGTGTGGTGCTCCGGTTGTCCTCAACATGTTATCAAGTATTCCGAACGTAAAACCCTTAAAGCAGCCGGTTAAGATCATGACAGCCGGAGCTCCTCCGCCAGCGGCAGTGTTGGCTAGAGCGGAGTCTCTAGGATTCATCATAAGTCACGGTTACGGTCTGACGGAAACAGGTGGGTTAGTGGTGACCTGCGCGTGGAAGCGTAAGTGGAATCGACTGCCGGCGACGGAGAGATCGCGACTAAAAGCAAGACAAGGTGTGAGATCAATTGGATTTACCGACGTGGATGTAGTCGATCCCGAATCAGGAGTGAGTGTGACTCGGGACGGGTCAACCCTGGGGGAAGTGGTGCTACGCGGCGGCTGTATTATGTTGGGTTACCTTAGAGATCCGGAGGGAACCAGAAAGAGCATGAGAGAAAATGGATGGTTCTACACCGGCGACGTGGCGGTGATGCACCCAGACGGGTATTTGGAGATCAAAGACAGATCGAAAGACGTGATCATTAGTGGTGGGGAGAATTTGAGTAGTGTGGAGGTGGAATCGGTGTTGTACACACATCCGGCGGTGAAGGAGGCGGCGGTAGTGGCAAGGGCGGATGATTATTGGGGAGAAACGCCGTGTGCGTTTGTGAGCTTGAAAGCGGAGATGGTGGGGAAAGTGAAGGAGAAAGAGTTGGGAGAGTATTGTAGAGGTAAGTTGCCGGGATATATGGTGCCAAAAACGGTGGTGTTTAAAGAAGAGCTGCCGAAAACGTCGACGGGGAAGATTCAGAAGTTTCTGCTTCGAGAAATGGCGAGGAGAATGGAACCTTCAAGAAACAGTCGTATGTAGATTTTTGATAGATGTTATATTTTTATTTATGATCATCAATAATAATAATAATAATAATAATAATAATAATTTATATCTATACTATATTATAAAACATTTGTTAAAAACTATTAAAACATACTTTTTATACATAAAGTATGGTTTATTAATGCATGTTACTTAAAACTCAAGATTACAAATATATTGTGCGTAAATATAACTTATTAAAGTTCCATATTTGAATTTGTGTAACTAACTGCAAATAAATATAATCGAATACAAGATAAACATCTAATTATAAATATAAAAAATATAAAATATAATAGGATAACCATTAAATTCTAACAAAATACTTAATTATTATTTTTATCAAAAATTATTTTATTAAATAAAAAATAAATTATTTTAYTATTAAACTTAAATTAAATTATAATAAAAAATAAATTAAAAAATTATATAAAAATTTAAAAAATTTGAATAGTAAATTTGATATTAATATTGATATTTTTTTTCCTTCAAATTTTTGATCGGAGAGAATTGTATAATTGTTGAATGGTGTATTAATGTATATGTAGGGAAGGGGAAGGGTGGATTTTATTAAATAATCTAATAATATGATTTATTTGCGGTTTGTTGAAGATAACACTTTTTACCTTATAGTTTTAAAATTATAAGATAATTATTGTGGTTTGTAAAAATGTTTCGAATTTGGTCTTTATTTTTAACGGTTATTAAAAAGATTCTTTAAATGAGGGACATTTTTGTCCTTTTATCGATTTTTTTTTGTTTTTTACTCAATTAAAACCATAATCATAAAATCAATTTTAATATGATAAAAGACAAAAAAAAAAAATCCATAAAAAGACAAAAATGCCCCTCGTTTAACAGATTTTATAACAATTGTTAGATGAGGGACCAAATTCAAACATTTTTACAAACCACGACGATCATTTTATAATTTCAAAATAAATCGTTCATTTGAAAAAACTGAAACCCCATTGAACCCATTTCATATGATGAGAATTTTGGTGCACAACAAGAATTTTTATTCGCAACTTCAGGAATGAAAAGTGTTATTTGCAATAAATCACATGGACCAAATTTGTAGTTTGATCTAGAGTGTGTTCCATATGGTTTGCTCTAATTTTGGATACGGTCTTTCAAACAAACTATCTATATTGAAAGTCCTTAACTTTTTATTTTCGTAACACTCATGATTCTTCAATTTAATACCGTTAATTTGACCACCGTTAATTCTATTATTTGCCTCTCATATGAGGTTTTTTTTTTTTTTTTTTTTTTTTTTTTTCTCTTTCATTGTTCAAAAAATAATAATAAATACTTCAAAAAGAAAAAACTAAATCCTAAACCTCACCCACCACTAGTGATGGCCAAACTGGTCCGGTCCCAATTTTTTTTCAAACGATGACAACATATAATTAATATATAATATATATCCAAAAATAATTACAAAAATATGGTTTTTATGGGAACGATAAACAAATTAAACTTGTACCCGACGCGTCTTCATCTTTTGAAAACGGTCAATATATACCCAAAAATAATTACAAAAAGTATGGTTTTTATAGAATTAAGAAACAACTCCTAAATTTGCCTTTGGCGTGTCTTCATTTTTTAAAACGATCGATAACATCTTCATTTTTAACATTATTATGTGCTTCCTTTTCTATGACACAAATAAGGGCAGAATTCAAAAAGGCATCACCAATTCGATTATGTAAATGGCTAAATCTGAAAAGTGAAAACAAAGACCAAAGACACCAAATAGTCATGTAGCAAGTGAGAATCGTTCGAGAATCGTCCAATTTCCGAGAATTGTTCGAGAATCACCACTTGAGAGTTGAGAATTGTTTTTGAGCCGATTTTCGTCACTCACTTCTTGTTGTCTGGTCTGGACTTGCTTGTCGACTTGGACCTGTTCCTGTTTGTTCTCGTAATCTCGTTGGCCGCCTGCTAAGTTTAAGGGCTATTGGGCTAAGCCTACGGCCTTTGTAGTTTGTTTGATTAATTAGGCTTTGCATATTAGGCTTTTGATTTGGTCATTTGGGCTTTGTTTTATTTGTGTTTCAGTTACATGATTGGGTTACAGAAAAATACGGTAACACCTTCTTAAAACGATGCGACTGCACTGTTCACAAATCTAAATTTTTTACCCTTCGATAAGGAAATAATACGGTGGCTCGTGCCACCTAAACCATCCAACTGGATCCGTTGGGATTTTAATGAGGTTGTGTGAAAGGGGATATGGAATATGGGTTTAGGGTTGGAAGGATTGGGTGGGGACGTGGGTTAGTGGTGTGTATTGATGACCAAAAATCAATCCAGGCTTAAATAAATCCGGTCATAACCGGTTTCGATTCCGGTCCTAATCGAAAAGAGTGAGCTCGGTTAAACTTTATTGTAACCGGTTACAGGTTGCCGGTCTCGGTCATTAAAAAATATATTTTTTAAAATCTTCTTAATGATATATATTTTTAATACATTAAAAAATTTGTAACTGGGTCACTCAAATACACTTTAAAAATGCATTCTATTATAACTAAAATTACATTGTTTTACAAAAATACATTAAAAAAACCGAGAATTATAAACATTTTTTTGCGTTTTTTGCGAATTGAGAACTTGGTATGTAAACCACTCAACCAATACACTTATTTATAGTATTTAGAAGACAAAAGATCCAAAAAATGGCTACCTAACGACTATTTTTTTAAAAAAAATCAGGCCGGACCAGGCCATAACCGGTCCCAGTCCCATGAAATCCTCCAAATCATGAACGGTCCCGGACCTCTAACGGTCCCAGATCTCATATCCCCACCACCAACACCCACCT